GAGGAGGAGGAGGAGGAGGAGGAGGAGGAGGAAGAGTAAAAGACAACCTCTTTTGTCACGTTTCTCTTTTACACCTGTCTTTCGGACTTTCAGATGATGAGGATGATGAAGACCTCAGATCACCTTTTGCTGCATTTCCTTCATTGCACTTCCAGTTTGTTCTTATTGTATTTATGCAACAGCCAGCTATCAGATTTGTTCATCACATGACATCAATATTACTCACATTCTTCATTGTCATGTTTTACTCCAACCAAACATTTCTAAACTCACATGTGTGTTTGTGTGATGATCATCGCTCGTGACTGTGTGAGACTGTGTGAGCTGTTACGGCAGCTTTATTTAAGCACTGCAAACTCATGTAAGGTTGTGTGTTTTTGTCTGGAGACGTTTTCCTCCTCTTTCACCATCTGTCACAGTAGCAGCACTCAACAGATATTTGGAGACACGTGTTAAATGTATGTTTATTTGATTAGGAATGTCTGTAGATTATATTTCTTGAAATGTTTTTTAGATATATACGCGTTTGATAAAGTGCAGATTGCATTGTAATGAGAACACTACAAATGTAGTTATTCACTTTTAAAGATTAAATTTTGATCACAAACACTGTAAGTTGTTGTGCTCACTTAAAAAACAGAGTCATTGAAAGTTGTTAAAACAATTTATGACAGTCATAATCCAGTGCATCCTTGGCTGCTTTTGTACAACTAAGGAAAATATTAAAGGACACAATTCATTAAAATGTTATTTTACTAAGCTAATTCCAAAATAAACGAAGAGTAAAAATTAAACCGCATCGTGTCCTACAACATCAAAAAAAAAGTTGGGAAAGTTTGCCTATTACAGAACATCACTCCCCCCACCCCCTGTATTTTTCATATTTTGGTCACTGTTACGTTTAAGGATTGGACACATCCTGAAGTATAGTCAGGGGCATTAAGTTCAACTTTGTTTCGAGTTTCAAATTAAAACTAACAGCACACTCTTCGCCAGATGGCGCTGTGTTGTCACAACTATACATTCAATGTGTTGTCTCAAGATATTTTGGACATAAAACAGTTGTGACCCTGGACCACAAAATACATAAGCTTTCTATTGATGTATGGTGTGTTATGATAGGACAATATTTGGCCGAGATACAACTATTTGAAAATCTGGAATCTGAGGGTGCAAAAAAAATCTAAATATTGAGAAAATCATCTTTAAAGTTGTTCAAATGAAGTTCTTAGCAATGCATATTACTAATCAAAAATTACGTTTTAATATATTTACAGTAGAAAAAAATTACAAAATATCTTCATGGAACATGATTTTCACTTAATATCCTAATGATTTTTGGCATAAAAGAAAAATCGATAATTTTGACCCATACAATGTATTTTTGGCTATTGCTACAAATATACCCCAGCGACTTAATTAATTAATTAATTTATTCATTACATTTATATAGCGCTTTTCTAGGCACTCAAAGCGCTTCACATTGTCAGGGGGTATGTCCTCGTCCACTTGAGACTGCTTAGGACTTACGACTGCTTTTGTGCTACAATTCTGTAATTCTGCAACAGTTAGACAAGACTTTAACCCAGTACTGGGAGGATGTGTAAACATTTCAGGCCCCACTGTTGAGTTTACTTTGAAATGGGAGACTAAGTTCAACAGCAAACATGGTTTAAAATGAGTGGAATCATCACTCAGTACAATGTGGTCTCTGTATGGACCTTAAGAACATTGCTTCCTTCATCTGGCTCACAGACAAATTTAGCAACATCTGTCCTGCAACAGAGATTTTATTCTTCCTCCTTTATTTTGGGCATTTTATAAGTCCTTGTAGTGCCTTTGGGCCTCTGAGGGTCTCCCTCAGCGTCTTCGGTTTCAGCAGCTGTGGGCTTCCTGTGTCTCTTTTCTCTTTTGTATGAAGTCTGGTCTCTCCTTCAGCATATGGAGCTCAACAATGCATTAGCACTCATGTGTCTGAAAGTACAAAAAGATTTTACTCTGTCAATGTGACACTTACGTGCATTTAACCATACATTATCACATGACTCATTAATGCTGACTAACGATGAAAGGATCATTGTAAAGACTTAAGTAAGTAGTTAGCACTACTACTAACGGTGTAGCCATCTATCAGTGCTAGAGTCGCCCAAATTCACTTTTAACAAATGTATGTTTAAATGTAAAGACTTTTTCTTCTTGGAGACAATATAAGGGAGCAATTGTGAGCTAAAAAGACACAACAATGAAACGTCATGTTTAAATGTAATTTTTTTATTTAATTTAAATTTAAATTTAAATTTAATTTAATTAATTTTGTTTTGTTTTGTTTATTTTATTGTATTTTATAGTATTTTTTTAATTTTTTTATTTTATTTTAATTTTTTTAATTTTAATTTAAATTTTTTTTTTTTTTTTTAGTTTAGTTTAGTTTAGTACATCTGACCCAGCAAGAACAGTTTATGTTTTTAAATAGCCTTAAAATAAATAAATAAATACAATTAAATAAAATTAAGAATAAGGATTTTTAAAGCTAAATTGCATGGGTACAATGTATGACTGATGATTCCACAGGTGTCTCTTTCAATCTTGCCTCAAGCTGTTTAAACAATGTGTGAGAGCAGTGTGTTTTAATCATTTATGTACCATATTTTGAATTGTGTCTTGTTTGTGCAATTTTAATTCCCCTGGCGTGTTTTTCTTCCCTTGTTTGCTATCTATTCTGTAGCCTGATGTTATTGCTCACTGTAAAAAGTAAAGAGAGCGAAGAGAACTATTGAACTGCATCTATTTTATTTGCGCATGTTGTAAATAGACTATAAATCATTAATTCAAAGGACTGCTGACAATGTTTTTACGATGATTCTCATGTATAATTCATGAGCAAAGTCTTCGCTGTGGTAGTGTTGGTCACTGCGCTCGCGGGGCGGAGTTGAAGCGCCAGCGCCTGTCGTGGTCCGCTGAAGTGCGTTTCAGAGTCTGAACCATGAAGATCAGAAGAGCTCACTGGGAGTAGTGCGGACGTTGTGCAATATGTAAATATGACACGTTATTTGTGTGAAGTTATAATGCAGCTGCGCGCGGACCCTGCTGCTGCCGCTGACCTCCATCAAGTGTTCAAGATAAAGTCGCACAGACAGTGATAACAGAGACCGGACTCATACAGGACAAACCCGCAGAAGAAGAGTGTGCCTGCGATACTGGAGGAGAGATGGGGAACGCAGGGAGCATGAACCAACACACTGACCCCAGAGGACACCACATGCCCCTCAAACTGCCCCTGCCCGAGCCGGCCGAGCTGGAGGAGAGATTTGCGCTCGTCCTGGTCTGTACTAATGACCTTACGATTATCAGCTGAACAACCAGAGAGAAACCTGCACTTGCTTTTCACTTCTTTCTTTGTTGCACTTCTATTCTATTCTATTCTATTCTATTCTATTCACAGTCAAGGTATATAGATCCCGTTTGTAGACTTCTGGAGAGATGTTACTTTGCCATTTTACTTTAGGCTGCTATTCTGTTTAATTCTGTTAGCTTGGTAGTAGTTGTTATTTTATTAATTTACATTTAAAAGTATATAAATTTGTTTTGTAGACATGTAACTAGTTGTTTACATTGCTGCTATTCTGTTCTGTTAACTTGGTAGTAGCCTAGTTATTTGATTTATTTATATTCAAAAGTATATGGATACCTTTTTGATATATAAAGAGGTTTGATATGCCATTTTACATTTATTCTATTCTATTCTATTCTATTCTATTCACAGTCAAAGTATATAGATCCCGTTTGTAGACTTCTGGAGAGATGTTACTTTGCCATTTTACTTTAGGCTGCTATTCTGTTTAATTCTGTTAGCTTGGTAGTAGTTGTTATTTTATTAATTTACATTTAAAAGTATATAAATTTGTTTTGTAGACATGTAACTAGTTGTTTACATTGCTGCTATTCTGTTCTGCTAACTTGGTAGTAGCCTAGTTATTTGATTTATTTATATTCAAAAGTATATGGATACCTTTTTGATATATAAAGAGGTTTGATATGCCATTTTACTTTTATTCTATTCAATCCCATTCTATTCTATTCTATCCCATTCTATTCTATCCTATCCCTGTAGACATGTAACTAGTTGTTTACATTGCTGCTATTCTGTTCTGCTAACTTGGTAGTAGCCTAGTTATTTGATTTATTTATATTCAAAAGTATATGGATACCTTTTTGATATATAAAGAGGTTTGATATGCCATTTTACATTTATTCTATTCTATTCTATTCTATTCTATTCAC